GTACAGGGAACTATGGTTCCTAGAAGATGCTAGGCCCTACTGCAGCACCTAAAACAGTTGGATTCATTCCATGGCTCACAGAGAACCACATTTGCAATTGCCATCACCCCACCCCACCAAACACACACATACAATAATATAGATAATTAAATACATAACTATCACCTTTTCCCCACCACTGTTGAATCTATATCTGGAGTGGGGAAGGGCTTCCCTCTCTGTCTTTTTGTTCCCTCCTCAGCGTGAGAAACAACAGCTCATGCAAGAGATCAGGCTTGCCACGGTTCCCTGAAGGAAGTTTGTCATGGAAGAAGGGAAGCAAAACCACTGCCACCCCATTGTGGCCAACTTGCATTTTTCTCGAGTGGCTGCCATGGTAGTAGTTTTATTCTCTCTTCTCTGCAGCCCGCTTGCTCTCCCCTTAAAAGTTACCCCAACAGATGAGAGTGCAGAGGCTATAGAAAAGGATAGAGGGTTGTTGAAGAGGATGGGTCCTTTGCTTTTATCTAGGAAGCAACTGGTGGGAGTCTGGGGGGGAAGTAACTTGGGGGGCACCATCAGGTAACAGTGCAATGCCACTTCCAGGGAAAACCTGGAAGGGACATCATGCATCTCTAGAAATCACTGGAAACTTTATGGTAATACCATGGAAGTTTCAGAGATTCCCAGAGAAGACTGACATGACTTTTCTAGAAGTGACATCACATCATTGATTGATGGCGAAATGTTTTACATGATTTTTCTCCTACTGGTGATGGGAGCAGTGGAGGGAAACAAGAGCTGGGGAGGGGAATCGTGGGAAACTGGCAAGCCTTTTTCTTCCTTGGCATGAACCATGCAGCTTACCCATCCTTCAGCTCCTGGCAGCAGCTGTTTTAAGGTGGGGACCACAAGTCCTTTGGGGCAATGTCCTTGTTCACGTTCCCGGAACATGAGGCAGGTGCCACATTGGGAGACAGTGGCCAGAAAAGTCACAGGTGGCATGTCAAAGAGGCACTGATCCCCTCCCAGACCACTGAGTATCACTGACCTAAAACTAACTTTCCTGCTGCTATCAACTTGGTAAGTCAGAGGACAAAGGACCACAAGATCAAAGTTTGGTTGAGTTTTAGTTCTCAAAAACTCTACTTTGGGGGTGTTCTGTGCTTTGCAAGCATTTTCAAAGTTCACAAGAAACAGTTCCAAGTCATCTCCATCAATCTCTTAAAGTCCACTTTGCAAGGGTGGGGGTGGGGGAAGGAGTTGGATGTGCTGCCTCCCCCAGCTCCCTGATGCTCTTGCTCCAATCTCATCCACTGCATACATCAGTCATGTGCATGCTGCCCCTCTCTCTCCTGGAGTTTAAGGTTTCACATTTCAAACTCCATGGCTTTCATCTTTACAGCATGAGCCATGCACCACCGTGGGTCAGCACCCACTTCTGTGCTTTCAGGAGAGCTCTCCATTGGTCTGGTGGGGGCTGCTGCCCCTCATCCCTCTGGCCATCTATCTCAGCTACCTGCTATGCTGCTCCAGCTGCTGTCTGCAACTTTGTTGCACCTCGCCTCAGCTGGCTCCCTCTTGGCAATCATGAGGCTGCTCTCACACGCTGAGTGCTCTTTCTGGCCCGCTCAGCACTCCAAGGTAAATGTATAGGGCTTCCCTCGCCCCCTCTTGCTGGACCAGCGCAGCCTGCTTTTACCCAGGTACATCAGGTCACGACCATACCCTATTCAAACGTCCCTTACAACAAACAAACAAAAAAATCTGCTCACCAATGATATGATATATTTTCCCATCACTTTGTGCTCTGGATAAATGCCAGAGACCATGTCAAATCCTAAACAAGTGTGTAGCCACGATGTCATAAACCCACCCTGGGTCTATGTGTGCTTACATGTAACTGTGTGTTCATGTGCATGTAAAGCGCGTTCCTCTTCTTTGTGCCACCAGTTAAGAATCCAGCCTCCCATTTACCAGTGAACTGGGCAACGCCAGTAAAGGCTGCCTCTGAGCAGGTGCAAAGGACAGAGCTTCCTCATCACTTCAGCTCTTCTCCTGTGCATGCACATTCAAGCATGAGCAAGTGCTTAAGGTGCACAAGGGAGGTCTTTGAATCACAGTTTGCTTTCTTAAACAGGAAAGCTTTATTGCTACAAAGAATGCTAGAGCACAAGGAAAATACTATCAAAATTACACCTGTTACAGATCAAAGGGAAAGAACAGTAAAAACATAATACTAAGCTAAACTTGACAGTACAGTGGATTTAACTCCGACATCCCCCCAAACATCTGTAGAACAAATGCAAATCCATCCCCCCCCACCTGCTCCATGAAGGGGAATACAATTTCCAGCATTTGAACAAAGACTGATGTTGCCAATCTTTTGACACTTCTTGCCTTTGCCTCTCACCCACTCCAGATTGAGGGAACTGTTCCCCATTTGGGAAGGCGAACCCCAATCTCCTAGTCAACTCAGGGTGTACGTCCCATAAATCACAATACGCAGACTATGTTTTACAACAGCTATCCATCCTGCCCTTTCTGGCAAGTGTAGCAAATGGTTATCTCCCTGCAGAAAGCATCTCTGCTCTCTGTAATCTCTTGGTGCATTTTATAGCTCTTCCTCCCTATGAAAACAATTCGTTGTCAGGATCCCAGGGACTCCCTGGTGTGCTTCAAAGCACCTTACATCTCCAGGAACAGCAGGTAATACAATAATTCCTTTAAAACAGGTCTCAAAGGTTGGCAATTTTAAGATGGCCATTTTTGAGTACTAACAATGAATTAAGGAAATAGATGAATAAATATAAATCATGTATGACTTAACATCACAAAAGACTCCAAACGTTTCTCAAACATGCACCAGTATTCAATACACAAAGATAAACAGTATAAAGTATATTGCGATCAGCAAGTAGATCCGGTCCTTAAGACTTGAGACATACAACAAGTTCTTGCTTTATGGACATTTGAAGATCATGTTCTTCAGTCCACTGAAATTGTGAACTTAGAATCTGTGAAGTATTTCTTTTGGGAATGTCCACTAGTAAATGTTAGATATTGCTTTAAAGCTCCAGCCTATTTTCTTGATAACTTCTAGCAATGCCACAACATTTCAGCTTAAGTAGAATAACAGCAATTATGAATTTGAAAAATGTGTTAGCATTAACCTTCCATTTAAACCAAAAACACTACTATTGAACTATGTGGTTGTTTCAAAGAAACTCAGAGTTATCACTTTAAACTTAATTACCAGTGGCAAGCAGTGTTCCCTCTAAGCTGAGTCAGTGTGAGCCAGCTCACAGTTTCTTAGCCTCCGGCTCACACATTTTTGTCTTAGCTCAGGAAGGGATGGCTCAAGAGCACACTAATTTATACAGTAGCCAAATCGCTCGCTCACAACTTTAATGCCAGTAGCTCACAAAGTAGAATTTTTGCTCACAAGACTCCACAGCTTAGAGGGAACATTGGTGGCAAGGCTTGTTCACACAAGGTGTTGGAAATCAGACAAGTCTCCCACTTTACTGCCATGATCTGACAAAGTAAAAGAATGATATCTCTTCATTAAGCTTCCTGGATACCAATGTAATCAGGATGGATGGAAATTAGATTATCTATGGTATACATTTATTTCAGGCTAGAAAATGATACAGCTTGGTTTTTACAAATTTAATAGGAAGCAGCAGCAGGACGTTACATGCCTTTCCTCTTGGGTAGTTGGTAGTTTCATTTATAATCTACCCATCTAACTGTGTGATGTATTAACTGATCTGTTGAACTTTATTGTCCACCCGACTCACTGGGATAGCATAACTCTGATATGCTCCTATTTTTACTTTTTAAAATGATTTATTTAATTATTAATTATTATTATTCTTTAATTTGATTTATCAACCGCCCCCCCCCCAGAGACCGGACTCAGAGTGGTGTACAACGTGGTCATAAGACATCAGATAAAACAAGATTAAAACCAATAGTCCAACAACTGAGCTAAAGATGGTGCTAAAACCCCAATAAGCTCTGCTGTCTCATGGGAGGGCAGGGGACGGGAATGCCAAGATGGAACTGTCGCTATCCTCAACTGAACGCCTGGCAGAACATCTCTGCCTTACAAGCCCTGTGGAACTGCATTAAGTCCCGCAAGGCATGGATGTTATTTGGCAGAGAATTCCAGCTGGTTGGAGCCAGGGTAGAGAAAGCCCTGGCCCTGGTCGAGGAAAGTTGGATATCTCTCAGGCTGGGGACCACCAGTAGGTTTTGATCTACAGAGCATAACACCCTTCTGGGGGTATACCAGGAGAGGTGGTCCTGAAGGTACCAAGACCTTGAACTCCATGGGAAGCCAATGCAGCTCATGCGGCACAGACTGAATATATGCCGTGCACAGTGTCCCCTGAGGACCCGTGCCACTGCATTCTGCACCAGTTGGAGTTTCTTGGTCAGCCCCAAAAGTAGGCCCACATAGTTCCCATGAATTGTTGATATTTTGTATTTCTTCCATGCTAATGAGTTCCTGCTATTTCTTCCATTTATGACTTGCCTCCTGTTAATATAAAAAATGGACTTCTATTTTATTTTACCAACAAATGGACACCCAAGAGATCTGTCAAACTATTTAGATGACTGAGATCTGCTATTCACCCAAGGTCAGTACCAAGACCTTGAACTCCATGGGAAGCCAATGCAGCTCATGCGGCACAGACTGAATATATGCCGTGCGCAGTGTCCCCTGAGGACCCGTGTTGACTGAACCACAGTTGACTGAACCACAGTTGTCACAAATGTATGGGAACGGGGGGGGGGGGGGTTACCCCAAGTTTCTACCTGCTAATGCAGGTAAAGGAGTCTGGATTTTACCTATAGTACCTGAATTGTGTGAGTGCAGGCAAATAAAAATGATTTTTTTCCCTAAAGGTGACTGTCACTTTCATTTTATATAGTTTTTAGTCAATACAGTATGACTTGAGGTCTGTAACTCTAAGAAAACCCATTCAAACATACTTTGCTACCATTCTTACCTGGTACTCTTTTGGCCCAGTTGATCATGTGTACCAGCTCTCTGTCAGCAAGGTTAGTCAACAGTGACATCATAGAAGCTTCATTGAAAGGCCTGCCAGGGTCATATTCTGAATAGACAACGGGTGGCTCAGCATCTAGCAAGGCACTGACCATCTGGTCTGCGGTGAGAGACAGGGCCGGACTATTTTTCTTGGTATGTTTAATCACCAGGGGGCCTGGCCAAAGTGTTGGGCTTCTTGATTCAAGCGCAACGCCTCCAGTCTTGCCATAATGCTCATCTCTTTGCCGCTTGTGTTTCAGCATTCGGCTACCTCTGCGGTCTTTCCGAATCCCTGGAAGAAGAAAAGAGCATCTTAATTCCATCGTCTTTTAATACTATAATATTACTGAAAATTAAGTATGGAAAGGTATCAAGTTCATCTTATCCAACACTCTGCCCTAAGGAAGTACCAGCCATATATTTAAGTACAGGCGATGCATGTAATAAACTTTTACAGAATAATCAGTACCTTGATTATAATGTATTACAAGCAGAGAATACAAATAAAAGAATCATGGCTGGTGTGACTGCACAGGTGGTGTGCAATCTGAGAATTATTATATAACATCCATGGCAACATCACAAAGGATCATGGGACACATCTCTTGTATTGTGATGTTATTCCTGCACCTTTCTTGCAAAAATTGTGTGATCCAGCCTTCTCTTTGCACACATGTGTATAAAGGTGATTTCTTAATTTTTGATTGCAAATATTGAATATATTAGTTTTCTTTTGTGTACCTCAGCACCAAAAAAGACTCACACCACTGCCATAGGATATTACAACCTGGGTCATCATTTACTGATGGGGACGTATATGGGCTACTTTTTAAGCAGGTCCAGCAAGTGTAGATTTGGCGCCAGCCAGCTCTGTCATACAACTTCCTAAATAATGCATTAATTCAAGCCCACAAAAGATCCAGTTTCCCACCAGTAAGTAAATCATGGTCCAATTTACAAGAGGCCAGTCTCATAGTTTTAATAATCTAATCTCCATCAACTGATAACACTGAGCAAAGCAAAATTACATTAGCAAAGAACAACTCTATTTAAATTACTGAGGGTCAAAACAAACACAGTGATTTTATCTGTCAAGTTAAGTAGCACATCCTTCAAGGTGGTTCAGACAAAGCCTACATTCATCACCAGGATCACCTGTAGTGGATAGTGCTGCATCACTGGCAAAAGAGAATCTTATAACCAGGAATGGAATTCATCCTTCTACTGTTCAATATCCATCTGCTTCTCTACTAGAAAGCCTATGGCTTATAACAATGCTGCAGTTCTAAAGGCATTTAAGAAGCAGTTCTCAAACTGTTAGCTCTGGAATGGTCCACATTAAGTTAGTCAGACTGCTCAGGATTTACTGTTTTGAGAATTGCCATGTCACTGGCTTGACATCTGTCTCTGAAGAAGATTAAGCCAGGAATTGATGCCAGGCTTCTGAAATCTGATACAGCCACCTGTTCATCACAACAGTCCATCAAAAACTGCTCAGAGAGTCATTATAGTCTGACAGAGAATAGAGGCTTTGAAGCCAGGATATGTGGCTCAGTTAATTAAAGACAATAACAGTAAACATTATGATGGCCGTGTCTTGGATGAGACAAACTTAATAACTTTTAAAACTTTAGCCTATTCATACTTACTTAGAATCAACTTCCACTTTATTTAGCGGGCCTTACTCCCACGAGAGCCAGTTTGGTGTAGTGATTAAGCGCACGGACTCTAATCTGGGAGAACCAGGTTTGATTCCCCACTCCTCCACTTGCACCTGCTGGATGACCTTGGGCAAGCCATAGTTCTGGCACAGCTGTTCTTGAAAAAGAGCAGTTTCTGTCAGAGCTCTCTCAGCCCCAGCTACCTCACAGGGTGTCTGTTGTGGGGAGGGGAAGGGAAAGGACTTTGTAAGCCGCTCTGATACACCTTTGGGTAGTGAAGGGCGGGGTATAAATCCAATCTCCTCCTCCTCCTCCTCCTCCTCCTCCTCTTCTACATATGGTGGCAACTTTACTTATATTCTGCCCTTCTAGCTATCAAGAATAGTCACAGTAGTTTCTACGGAATATGTAGCATAATCTAGCCCTTAATTTCACAGAAACTGATATAGCACTATTCTACAAAAATCTGCCCAAAAGGCACCAAGAAAGAAAGCAGTCTAAGGTGTCATATTATTTCTTTCTGTTGCATGTCGGTCCCAGGTTGAGAGTCTAGAAATTGTAATATATTCCTGTGGCACAGAGGCAGCAGTGGATGCCAGAGGAGGCTCCACCTAGTGGGTGAGAGGCAGCAGCTGTTCTAGGGCAGGGCAGCTTGCAAGAAGGCAGCAGCAACCCAATGGGCCCAGCAAGAGTGGGGCTGCACCACTTCAGGACAGTCTCCCACCACGCATCAGCTGAAGAAGAAGAGATTGGATTTATACCCCGCCCTTCACTCAGAGTCTCAGAGCGGTTTACAAACTCCTTTCCCTTCCCCTCCCCACAACAGACACCCTGTGAGGTAGGTGGGGCTGAGAGAGCTCTGACACAAACTGTTCTGTCAAGGACAGATCTTGTCAGAACTATGGCTTGCCCAAGGTCATCCAGTAGCTGCAAATGGAGGAGTGGGGAATCAAACCCGGTTCTCCCAGATCAGAGTCCGCGCACTTAACCACTACACCAAACTGAACACAGCAGCAGGGGTAGGAGGTCTGGCAGCCTAGGGCTTTAATGAGGTGGGGCGTGGGGGACAGCAAGGGCCTCTGGCTAGCTCTATACAAACCCAGCTGGGTGGGGCAAGGCAAGGAAGTGGTTATAAGAGAGGAACAAGGCTCAGAGAAGGGTGCTGGACTTGGCCAACATCGGTGAAGCCCCAGAAATAAAAAGGAAGATGTCAGAAGAGACAGGGATTTGAGGAAGGCAAGCTGGCTGGGAAAGGCTGAGTAGGTGCAGAAAAGGAGGAAGTAGGTCCTAAAGGAGGAGCTGTGGCCTGGAGCAAGATAAGGCTACCAGATCTGGGCAGGCCTGAAAGAACTGCCCCAAGGCACAGGCACAAGCTCCATCCCCTGAGGTTCTGAAGGGGCAAAAGCAGGCAGGTGAAGGGAACTGCGCTCATGAGGAAACTTGTGTGGACTTTTGCTGATTCCAATACAGAGACACTTAGGGAGCACAATTGTGTCTGGTGAGTCTCTGCTGCCTATGGAAGTCAGTAATGATGTACTGATGCCTCCAGGTGTGGGGGGATGGGACAATTCCCTTAGAAGAATATAAAACCACAAACCAGGGTAGGATTAGAATTAAAAAACACAAACTAAGGTAGGGCTAAAATAACTAAATAACACAAGATGGCAACACATGTCACCTCAGCATGAATGTTAAATGAGTTTCATGGTTATCTATCCTGCTTTTGACTGACAGTTTCAATGGGATGAAAAAAAGAAAGCCACAGGAAATATCAATACTTGACAGTGGAAATTTCAAACATCCAGCCTATGGCAAGGTAAGCAGCAGTTACCACACAAAAAACAGAACGTTTGGCAAGTTGGGGTGATGGCTCCACACCGGGAAAATAATGCAATCTTTCCCCAAGCCAGCAAATCTTCACTTGAATTCTTCAGTCACCAAAGTGACAAGCACTGGAAGATCACAGCAGCAAGAAGATAGGGGAGACTGGATTGAAAGCAGAGGGGAGGGGAATGTAATTTTGCCCCATGCTGTCCTCCCAGTCTAACACAGTCCTATGCAAAGTTACCCCAGTATAAACCCCCTGAAACTAATGGGCTTGGACTAGACTGGATTGTTCATTAAGATGGAGCCACAATGGCGTGGTAATAATAATGTAAAGACACTCATGAAGTTATAAGGTAAAATATTATACAGTAAAATTTCAATATAGTACTGTATCAGCGTCTACAAAAACCAAATGCTACATTACACTAGATATTCTGTAGAAACTACCATGGCTGCGGTCACACGGAGCATTAGCCACGCTACAGAGATGGAAGATAGGCGGATTTTCCGGGCGCGATCAAACCGCAACATCTGGGAAGCGTAGAGCTCCCATGGCGAACCCGAGGCTTACCGCCGAAGATGCGCCGTAAAAAACTAGTACCTTTTCCAGAAACCACGGGGCAAGGGCAGGCATCTGATCACGTTTCCGGTGGTAGCTCGTGGCATCCGGCTCCCGCCCATGTCCCGTCGCAAAAGGGTTTTTTCCCCCAAGTCTCCACGGGATGCGCACAGGGACCCAACAGCACATGCGCACACTTCGGTTAAAAAAAACACAACCCCCACCGCGCCGCTTCTTTGCCGCACTGCAGGATTTACGTATGATCGGTACCTCCCCCTGAACCATGGGATGTCGGCAGGACGTTTGATCCGGCGGCCGCGTGGTTGTTCGCTCCAGGGCAAACAGCCACGCCTCCCCCCCACGATATCCGCCCCGTGTGACCGGGGCCCATGAGTATTTTTGATAAGTAGAAAGGCAGAAAATAAGTAAGGTTGCCATTATATGAACATGTGCCTGGGAGTTAGACCCACTGAACAAAGTGGAAGTCAGAAATTCTGATGTTAAACTGTGAAAATCTATCATCCACAGGAATGTTTTTTTGCTCCTGCTAATATATTTTTTAAACTTTATAAATGATTCAATGCTCAACAGTATATAAAAGCTCTACTGTCGGCAATGTATCCTATGTTCTCATGGTTACTAATGGAGAAGGTCACTCACAGAAGGTGTGTGGTGTTTTGCTATGTAAATATTTTGTGTGTTTTATTTCTGTGATTAAAATGTGGGTTTTATATTTATGTTGCTGTGGGTTTTATATGTAGGCCTCTTGAGTAAGAAAGAAGGGAGCTGGATGGTGATTGAAATGTGTTATGATTAGATGATAGCTGTACCTTAGGGGGTGGAGTTGACTGGTTTGTAGAGGGAGTGTTGTTTCAGTATGTGTGAGGGAAGAGAGATGAGTGGGTGAAGAGTGTGAGAGAAATCTGTATTCTGTGTGGAAGGTATTACCCTAAGTGGCAAATGAGGAACCTAATATCCTGTCTCCTGCTCTTCAAGGCAGCCCGCCAAGAATTGTAGTTTTTTGTCCATGTGGGTCCCACAGCCTATGATATATTTTTTGAAGGTGTAAGAGAATGCGGGAAGTCAGCAAATACTTCAACAGCTAACATCTCATACTGGTCTTTTCTTGGCTCCAACCCAATGCAAGTTAGGATTTAAGTTTCTTCCTAGCAAAAAGAGGTCATGAATCAAGAAAGAATACTTCCCACTTTTAAAAATATATTTATCTCTATCTGTCTCTCCACT